TTCTATTGCCTTTTAAGGAAAACGTTGGGTCCGTAAGGATCCGCAGCGCTTAGAGATCTTCACGCTCTTTCTCCCAAACTCCAGTTGCTTTCTCTCTCTGACTTGGGCAGAAACCTCTCAAGCTCTTTATACGGCTAGCAAGCCAATCGCTAGCCCCCACGTGGGAAAAGCCAATCGCTAGCCGCCACGTGTGCATGTATTAGGATCGGCCAATAGTGTGGCACGAATCTAAATACAAATGGCGGGAACTCCTTGCACCGTGCATTCCTTAGATGCAAAAGAAATGCACCCTGCAAAGAAAGCTACAAATTGGCGGGAATACCTCTTTTGCACCGGGGTTCTCTTCTGCAGCAGAAAACTCCACCGTGCAAAGAGGCTGCAATTTAGCGGGAACATAATTTAGCGGTGCCGAAGCACACACAAACAAAAAACCACAACTTTGGGTTGTGACACTTGGGAAGGGAATTTTTTAAAAAATGTGGAATGTACCCAATTGTGTCTGGTATCTATCATAAATGTCCCTGGGGAGGGACACCTTCCCCAGCAGTACTTCCTGCCCCCCCCACCCCCTCCGCTGAGCTGTCCGTGTGCTCTGCATCGCTGTTTTGGAGCTAACAGGAAACGTTTCTAGCCCTTTATATCAATGAGTTTGCATGTGGCTTAGCCCTGGTGCTAATCACAAGCAGGCACTGTTGATTTAACGGGAACACGAGCGGTGCTCATCTCTTCCTGTCTCTTAGCACAGGCCAGCCTACAGGCTTTTATCACAGACCCAGGGGGAGAATATCTGTGGCAGCTGGTTCTTCATTTCAGCAGCACATTCCTGAGCAGCAAGGAAGCAGCTTGCGGGCAGCATGATAGACACTTTCCTGGCGAACGCTGACACTTGGTGCCTGCCTTTTGGAGCGGCAGTCAGTGAGAGGGTTTTCCACCTACCTTTTTAACAGCACCAAAAGGAGAGCGGAACTACGGAGAAGCTTTTCAGGTCCCTTTTTTCAGCCAGGATACCCTTGCTGCATTCCCCACCCTGCTTCTTACTGCCTGCATGGCCTTGAATCGTTTTTCTCCATCCTTATACCTGTGTCTATTGCCCAATGCAATTTCTGCCTCATGGGGTAATGAGTGGCATAGTGGATTTGAGTTTGTAAAGGGCTACAAGCTCCAATGCTCTCTATAAATGCAAGGAATTGCAGTATAAAATGCATCACTCTATCTAGGTGCCTTTAGGAGCGTGCGTAGCTATTCAAAAGGTCAGCATGGTGAAGGATCATAGGCAAGTAGGACAGGAAGGGACCGCAAAGTCATCTAGTCCGCCTCCCTGCTCAAGGCAGGATCCTCCGCGATGAAACCATCCCAGCCACGCGTCTGTCCGGTCTGGTTTGTAAAACGTGTCTGTCCAGTCTGGTTTGTAAAACTTCCAAGGATGGAGATTCCCCAGTTTCTCTAGGCACCTCTTCCAGTGCCTGGCCACCCTCAGTTGGAAAGTTCCTCCTCGTCTCCAACCTCAGTTTCCCCTGCTGCAGCTTGAGGCCATTGCTCCTAGTCCTGTCCCTTGCAACCACAGAGAAAAGCTCATCTCCACTAAGATGCTTAAATGAGGGTTGTCTCCCTTCCCCCACCCTGCATGCACTGGGGTCTAAAGATGACAAATCGAGGGTTGGGATGTAATGTATTGCACTTCAGGGATTTAATGTGTGCAAACAGCATGACCCAGTTCATGCTCTTGCAACAAACTTTGGTCATAGAAATGCAGAGAATGAGGGTGGAAGGGAGCTCAGGAGGTCACATCTAGTCCAGCCCCCTGCTCCAAGCACGACCAGCCCCAACTACATCATCCCAGCCAAGGCTTTGTCTAGCCGGGGCTTCAAAACCTCCAAGGATGGAGACTCCCCCACCTCTCTGGATAGCCCGTTCCAGTGCTTCACCACCCTGCTTATGAGGGTACTACTATCCAACCTAAACTTCCCTTGCTGTAGCTTGAGACCATTGCTCCTTGTTCTGTCATCCACCACCACTGGGAGCTAAGTCACGGTCCTTTAGCCTCTTCCTCCCACACGTCGGTGAAACTAGCTGCACCGAAGCAAGGGGGTTGCGCCACGTTTGCAATGCTGACTCCTCATTCATTTCCCTCGCCACTTGGTAAGAGTCCATGCTCTACCCTATTTATCACAGCGGCGAGGATCCATGTCCTCTAAAGGGTGGTTTATTATTTCTGCCAATTTGTTGCTTCCTTCCTAAGACGCGGCTCTTACTCTCAAGGGCCTGTTGATACTTGAACACGGACAGTCCTGAAAATGGGAAAGGGTTTATGAGTCAGTTTGGGGCAGATTCTTCTATTCCCCACACCACTATAATACTTGGATCATTCAATACAGTATGTACAGCTTGTCTTCCCTTATCAGGGCAGAGGTCTTTCTCTGGTATATGATCCAATGTTTTCTCAATATAGGCCATGGCTTGGCCCTCCTGATGATAACATTGGAGTGCCTTCTCACTGTTAAAAAAATGACACTAGTAACCTCTCTTTTTGTTTCTTCTTGGCCCATAGGAAAAAGTGCTTGCTTAGAAATGCAAAAATCTAGAACCCTTGGTTCAGAGATGATACCTTTTATTAGACCAACAGAAATAGGAAAAAAAAAAATTTTCTGCAAGCTTTTGGACTCACACACCCTTCCTCAGGCTCAGGGAAAGTTGGTAAAAAGTCCCCATATGTAGGAAATAAACGTCATTTTTGCACACGGCTACCAACTACATCCCTGATTAGGTTAGAGGATTTTTAAAAGCTTGGAAGAGATGAGAGTGGCCAGAAAATGAGCCACCTGTGGACTGGGTAGGGTGGCCATCATAGAGGACAGTCTGGTTGTCCTCTGTCCTGTATTGATATGAAACTCGACAACTTTATGTCCTCTGTTTCTCTTTCGGAGAAAAATAGAGGACATAAAGGCGCCTGGTTTCGTATCAATAGAGGATAGAGAACAACCAGACTGTCCTCTATGATGGCCACCGTAGGACTGGGTGATGCTTCACAGGTCCTATGTTTGACACTCCTGACGTGTTACACTCTGGTCTCAAGACGCTCCGGGGGCTTTGAAACAGTTATGTTCAAAGGGTGTGTTACTAGCTCATGTGTTGCTTCAGCATTAAAAACATCGAACCATAGAAAATGAGGGTTGAAGGGACCTCTGGAAGTCACATCTAGTCCAACCCCCTGCTCCAAGCAGAACCAGCCCCAACTGCATTATCCCAGCCAAGGCTTTGTCTAGCTGGATCTTAAAAACCTCCAAGGATGGAGACTGCACCACCTCTCTGGGGGGCGTGTTCCTGTGCTCCACCACCCTCCTAGTGAGAAAGTTTCTTCCTGATATCCAACCTCAACTTCCCTTGCTGCAGCTTGAGCTCATTGCTCCTTGTCCTGTATTTGCCCCCACTGGGAACAGCCCAGCTCCGTCCCCTTTACACCCCCCTGCATGGAGTTGAAGGCTGCTATTCAATCCCCTTGGTCTTCTCTTCTGCAGACTAAATCAGCCCAGTGCCCTCAGCCTCTCCTCTCCAGTCCTGTCCCCCAGCCCCCAAACATTTTCGCCGGACTCTCTCCAATGTGTCCACATCCTTTCTGTAGTGGGGAGCCCGCAGCTGGACACAGCACTGCAGATGTGGCCTCCCCAGTGCTGAATAAAGGGAAGAATCACATCCCTTGACCTGCCTGCAACGCTCCTGCCGATGCAGCCCAGGATGCCGGTAGCCTTCTTGGCAACACAGGCACACTGCTGGCTCAAATGGAGGCAAATTCTGCTGCCAGCAGCCCCTTGAAGTCATCTCTTACCTCTAGCCAGACATTTCACCTGCATGTTATTCCTGTGTCCATAAATCGGGACCTGTGGGGACTTACATTGTGGAGGAGGCCTCTGGGGGGCGAGGGGATTAATTATGCGGCTACTAGATTTTTAAAAGGTCTCTTTGGAAATGTTAAGCACATTAAGCTTGATCCCAGGTTATTTGGCAAGGCCTCTGTCTCATGCCATTGCCTAACATGGAGGGGAGAATAAGAATGACTCAAGGCTTTTCCAGCTTCCTGCCTATAAAAAAGGCATTTGCTGAGTCTGGGGGAGTGTTTGTAACCGCATCTCAGGTTTTCATTAGTGTCTTGGGTGACAGGATGGCTCATGGCGACAGAAGGAAAAAGTATGGAAGTTTCCTGAACTTAACATCCAGGTCAAACTCAGCACACTTTGGCCACGTCCCGTCGGGAGTGAACTCAAGGTCCCATGAACAAATGCCACCCACTTCAGCCCAGCTGACAGTAACTAGTTGGCTTGTTAGTCCCAGCAGAGATGGGTTTAATGGCCTGGGTGACTTGAATTATATAAAGGTTTCTTAGGGTACAGATCAGGGCATGGTATCTAGTGTGGGAAGCCTGTGCTCTAACTGCCCTGGCTGAAACAGTATCTGGGGATTGGCATTATGGCTCATTTTTCCAGCAATGTCCACAGTAAATATGACCGAATCCCACCCGAACTACTTCAAAGCTGGTCCCTTATACTCGATGACTCTGCTGTCTCTCTCTCACTTTTCTTTTTTTAAATAGAAATGAAATATTTTTTTTGTTTCCGTTACAGTTGTTTGTAGCAATAAGGCTGCACACAGACATTGCCTTTGTCCTGGGAGAAACCATTTTATGCCAGGACAAAGTGCAGTCATGCCCGTTGTCCCAGGAGAAATCCTTAACAGGTTCACGGGTTAAGCGGTACTAATGGTTTATCCCGGGACATCACAAAGGGCATCTGAACGGTTGTCCTGGGATTGTATCACGGAATCAATGGCAGAAAAGCAGCAGGGCATTCAGCCAGGCGCTGAACCCCGATTCGAACGGCGATGTGGGTACACACCAGTCCCGGGACATTGTTGTTCTGGGACAAGCACAGAGACAACTTGTCCAGGGACAAATGCAATGTCAGTTCGTAACCTAAACACCTTGACTGGATTATCGCTTGTCTTTGCAGCTCTTTGTGTTCTGCCATGGGCTCCTGCAGCTCTTCCAGCTCTCCCTCTCTGGCTATCTGAAGAGCTCCATTTCCACCATCGAGAAGCGGTATGGCATGTCCAGCCAAACGTCAGGATTGCTGGCTTCCTTCAACGAGGTGATGCTTGCTTTATTCCAACGTCTCTTCACCTTCCCATCGTGCAAGTCTCCCTGTACTTGTGCGCGTCCCGGGTAATACGTAAGCAGCTTCTCGATCTGTCTCTTGCTGCAGGTTGGAAACACGTTGCTGATCGTCTTCGTGAGCTACTTTGGAAGCCGCGTGCACAGGCCCCGTTTCATAGGCTGCGGCGCTCTCCTGGTTTCCCTGGCCGGGTTGCTCATCTCGATTCCTCACTTCATAACCGAGCCCTACAAATATGACAAGTCCGTTGCCAGTAGGTACTCTAGATATCTGTCCCCGTTACGGATTAGGGGAAGCAAGAGCGCTTTTCACGGAGAATCCTTGCCTGAAAAGCATAAGGGGTTAGAGACTGATACCAAGACGGCACTTGCTGAATTTTTGTTTTCTGACGGTTAAAATGTATTGGCCCCAAGAGGTGAATGTTGACCAAGAGAGGCTGCATATTGACTATTTAATGTATGATTAGCACTGTATGGACAGCCCAGCTGGCAGTAAGGAGTTGACTTGCTGGGCCCAGCAGAGATGGGTTTAATGGCCCTGGCGATTTGACTACTCTCTGGACTGTAAACAGGTCCCTTAAGGTGGGGGTCAGGGCACTCCTGCTCTCTTACGGCGGGTCCCTCCTTGCTAGGCTACAGGGTCAGGCACCTTTTTGGCCTGCAGCCCGTGCATCCCTTTCTGCTCAGTGGGCCAGCGTCATCAGGAGGGATGGGGATTGCCTTCAGACATGCTCTTGGAAAGTGAAAAATAAGGGGTCAAACCCCATCAGGGTCAGGAGGGACCTCTACCCTTGATCTGCCCCTTCCTGGGCAAGGGCCTTTTATTGGGCAAGAAATGGGTGTTTTCTCTCTCTTCATCGTAAGCATCTTCCCAGGGTGCGGCAGTATCTGGAAATGGCCAAGATGCGCGAAGTGCAGCCGCGGGTTCAGACGCACCTTTGTGCGCAGAGTTTCCAGTCGCCTGCCTGTGATAAGCCAAAACCTCCTGATCGTGCTGCAGTAGAGATTATGCTTTGAGTTTTGTTCCCCCCCACACTTATTTCTTAATTATAGGGATTGAAATCTTATTTCAAGATAAATCTATTATTATTTTAGGACTAGTAGCTTATGATATCCATATCATTTTTTTAAATCTCTATTACAGTCCAGAGTAACTCCATCAAAGCCAGGATAAATGAAATCAGATGCTTTAATTGGATTTGATTTTTATCCCTTTAATTTTCCAAAACACAATAGCTGCCAGTCTTATCAGTAGCGTCGGCTTGGTTTCATGCCATATTTTGTATCATAATTATTTGTCATAACCCAGCTAATGTGTTTGTGTTGCGTTGCTGATTGGCTTGCTTAGGTTTGTTCATATATAGCTGTTAAATTAAGGCCTCACGTTCATTTGATGTACATGTAGGTGCGTGCTGCTTTTTTCTGCTGGTTATTACTGAATAGGTGAGAGATTTGGATTTTGATAGAAAATTCTTCTGTCCATACAAGTCATGCAACCTCCCTTGTTCCCTGGGGAGGCGAGGGGTTACTGAAAGCAGAAGGTAGCCCATTGTTTTAGTTTTGTAAATGGTATATGGCTATGGAGAGCCTTCAAGAACCAGTTTCCAGACTGCAAGATTGTAGGAAGCCCGAAGAACTTCTCCACTTCTGTACTTGGGGTGGAAGGAGAAGGCAATGGGGATGTCTCCACCATGTCTTCCAGGGAGAAGCATCCTTGACTGTGCCCCACTGACCTGGCACATGCCAACCCTGGCAAAGTGGGGGTGGACGCTGCTGCAGGGGTGCTTCTCAAATATCCCCAAGGATAGAGGTCATGGGAATAGCTGTGAGGACTTCCCCAGGACGACTTCACCATTGCATTTCCTAGTTTGGCTGTTGACAGCAGGAATGGGTGGGTGGGACGTGCTCAGTGGCCTCCTTTCCGGGGACCATCAGGACATCCTGTAGACACAGCCCGTCCTCCTGCACCCCATTGGGCTGGGCACCTGGGCAGGGGTACAAGGAAAGGAAGGTGCTTGGGAAAGCTAAACATCATGCTCTGGGGAGCATGGGGAGGAATTAATCCTCCTATGACCATGCCCCATAGCCTGTCCCCAGTGCTGTGCACCGCATTCGGTTTAGGAGGTCGCCAGGTGGAACAGCACAGGATGCTTGAATGCATTCGCTGCATAGACCTGGCCTCAGTTCCCCCATGGGGCAGTGGCCTCTTGATTGCCCCATATTCACAGCTATACCTAAGTGTTACAAAGGGATAAAGAGCGGCCTTCAGTCTATGCAGCATCTCTCACGGCTGTGTCGCTAGCAGTTGCCCGGTGCTAGCAGCCGGGAGCATTCAGAGGCGTTTCATTTGCTTCTGCAGGTTTCTTCAGCAATAAGACGGATATCTGTCAGCCTGATGCTTTGGGGCACAACGGGCTTCCCGACGATGAGACCTGCGCACCACACACAGAGAAGGAAAACCGAATGGTCCTGCTAATTATGTTTCTCGGGCAGGCTTTGCTGGGCATCGGAGTGGTCCCCATCCAGCCCTTCGGCATCTCTTACATTGATGATTTTGCCAGCGAGAGAAACTCCCCGCTCTATTTAGGTAGGACTAAAAACGAGTCCCAGCAGAGCAAGAGAGGGAACCAGCAGGGGCCTCGGGGCGAGGGGTCAGCTCAGCAGGAGGTTTGCAAGAACAGGTCTTTAGACTTCAAGTGCATTTATTTTTACCTACGGCAGACTAATTCCAGTAAGTGCTGGAAGTTCCTGGAACTGAGTCTGAAAGGAATAAATGCAGAAGAGAATTGGTTTTTAGGTGTGTTTGTTCATTTTATCAGTACTTCTCATGAGAGAGTTTCCTGGTGCAAGATGAAGGAGAGGCAATAAACTAAGTTATGAGAGTGACTTATTGAAAAGGCATGACCCATGTGTTAAGGTGAGCAGTGCCAGCCTACGTCTCGATTGACTTTTTTGAGTGTGAAGGATTTCTTTCACCAGGGGTCCCTTTTGTCACTACATGTTCCCCAGCATGTGAGAGAGGTAGCAACAGGTGCAGAAACGAGTGACAAGAATGATCGAGGGTCTGCAAAAACTCTCCAGTAAAGACAGACTGAAGAGCAGTCTTGTTGGCCTTAGAAAGGAGACAGAGAAAAGTATATAAACTAATACATCAGTTAGAAGAGGCAGATAAGACTCCCATAGTGCCTGAGCAAGGGATGGCCAATTCAATTGAAAGTCAACCCTGAGGGAAGGACCCTTTTTTTCATTTGGCCCATAATTAAACTGTGAAACTCACTGCTACACAAAATCATCAAGAGCCAAGCACAGATTGGGCATTTGTACAGAGTACAACACTGAATTATAATGACTTGTAACTCTTGATTTGAGGGATTATTACATCCCACATTATTCCCCTCTATTCTGCACTGGGGAGGCCACATCTGGAGTCCTGTGTCCAGCTGTGGCCCCCACTACAGAAAGGATGTGGACAAATTGGAGAGAGTCCAGTGGAAGGCAAAGGAAATGGTTCAGGAACAGGGGGACAGGACTGGTGAAGAGAGGAGGAGGGAGCCGGGTGGATTTAGCCTACAGACAAGACGACCGATGGGGTGGGGATTGAATAGCCACCTTCGCCTCCCTGCAGGGGGGTGCAAAGAGGATGGAGCTGTACTGTCCTCAGTGGAGGCAGATGACAGAAGGAGCAATGGGCTCAAGCTGTAGCAAGGGAAGTTGAGGTTGGATATTAGGAAAAACTTTTTCAATAGGAGGGAAGTAAAGCACTGGAACAGGTTACCCAGAGGGGTGGTGGTATGTCCATCCTTGGAGGTTTTTAAGACCCGGCTCAACAAAGCCTTGGCTGGGATGATGTAGCTGGGGCTGGTCCTGCTTTGAGCAGAGGGTTGGACTAGATGTGATTTCCTGAGGCCCCTTCAACCCTCATTTTCTATGAGTCTAGGATTTAAACCAGTCTCTAAATATTAAAAACAGATATGAACTAATGGGGGAAGCATATCTGGCTGCACCTGGGTTTTCTCTCCAAACATCTGGAACTGGCCGCTGTCAGGGACAAGGTATGGGGCTAGACACCCTCCTGGAAGTGCTGTCAGGCCACCAAGTTCATGTGGCATAAATTTAGGTGGTTGTTCTTGGCAGCTGCTGCTTGGCTCTGGATCTCCCTTCCTCTTGAGACCCACCAGAGCCTGAGCCTGGACATCTTTTGGAAGCACTGTAAGACCTTCCAACTTGGGCAGACATTTAGCAAACAGTCAGGCTGAGATATTATTCAGGGGGTCTCTGTTTTAGGTTGATATTCTAGTTCCCTTTTAAGTGGCTTTGCTCTCTGATCACTCTCCTGTTTTTTTACATTGCTCTGTTCTCTTATTTTAAGCTGCCCTGAGCTCTTGTTGCGAAGGGTGACCTATAAGCAAATGGAGCAGGAGTCTTAGCTAGCCTGGCCAGTGCCTATGTTTGCACACCTGCTGCCCCCGATGTGCTGTTCTTTCCAAAGCCGAACACCGTTCTGGATGGAAACCTCTCTTTTCTCTTGCAGGGATCCTCTTTGCTGTGACTGTCATCGGCCCCGGGGTAGCATTCATGTTGGGATCAGCTATGTTGCGTTTCTACGTGGACTTTGACAAACTTTCCAAAGGTGAGTTGAGACGGCGTCCAAAGGTCGCCGCGCGTTGCATGAGTATGGGCGGATGAGAGTGATGGAGAAACAGAGGCGTACATTTGAGTTGGGAAGAACGGGAACTCCCTTGTTACTTAAGGCGATGTTATCTTAAGAGCTGCGGGCCAGCAATCTCATGCCAAAGAGGCAGAAAGGATTTGAAGCGTCCCACGATGCTGCTTACAAGACATGTTGTCAAGTGAAGCAAAGCCCAGCTTCCTCTCTGTCTGCTGACACACTTCATAGCTGTTGTTTCCCAAATGCCTTAATGAGGCTTCCTGTAATCACTCTGCGAGGCGCGGCCTGGGTTCATTGATCTCGAGCAGGTACAATAAGCGCAGCAGTGTAATTCCCCAAGACATGGGTTTTCCTGTCTGACTCTTCAGGTCACAGGCTAATATGGAGACAGTCTCACTAAGCAGGGCCATTGCAGGAATCCCAGGTTTTGCCCATGCCGCCTCAAAAACACACACGCCTGCATTGCTACGGTCCCGTTGCAGAAAGACCTGCAACTTCTGCACACGGCTTGAGGACTGAGCACCTAAGGAGCCAAGGTCGAAAGCAGCCTTGAACTGAGGGACTGCCACCGCCAGCCATCGTTCCAGGAGTGATGCCTGGCGTTACCTGTCACGCTCACAAGAGTTGCACCTTGCTTCTTATGCTTCCCTTTTGCTACCTCTCATGACGAGCTGCCCAGTTATACATGCTTCATCCTGTGCTGTGGATGGGGAGAAGGAGCAATGCAAGCGGAAGAGGTGATTGGGAAAAACATCAGTGAAAAAACCCTAGGTTGGGGGTTTCCAACCTTTTTTAAGGAGTGCCCCTCGTGGATGCAGGAGTATCCCTTCTGGATGCAGAGCAGGGGGTGGGTCCCCCGGCGGGCGGCCGGTCGGCAAGGTGGGGGGAAGCAGCACGCGGCAGCAGTGCAGACTGTTGGATCCCCCCATCCCCTGTGCCGCCGCATCCCAAGTAGCCCCACTTCTCCATGCCACTGCTCTGTACCCCCTGGGGCCTTCCCAAGTACCCCCAGGGGTAGACGTCCCCCCGTTGACAACCCTTGCCCTAGGTAACAGGAAGACCGAAGGGAAGGAAAAGATGGGTAAAAGAGGGGGAAAGCAGAGAGGAGGAAAAACAGGAGGGGAAGATAGGCACGGGGATCGCCCTTCAAAGCTTTCCTGTGAGAGAGCTGGCCGGGAGCCTGTCAGCACATATCAGACAGCACAGGGACGTGTCAGCAAGGGCAAAACGTGCGATCGCTTCAGCAAGCGGGGACGCGTGACGACGCTGCATCCCGACGGAAACAGCCCTGCCTGCCAGTCGCCCTGCAAACGCAGCAGGGTGGGGGCTGCGGAAAACCCAGAGCGAGAGCAAAGCTGCCGTCCCAAGGAAAAGCAGCTCGAGGGGAAGCCGGGCTGCAGACGAAAAGCTGCAAACCTTGCCAGTCTCTGGTCGCGGGCCTGGCAAGCTCCCTGGGACCTGCAACGCAGCTCGTGAGAAGCTGTCTGGGCTTGAGAAGTTACATCATCCTTGCCTGAAAACAGAAGAGGATTTTTTCGGAGCTAGGAATGCACATCTTGCACAATTCCTGCACTTCGGGAAAACACGGCTGAGAGACGCTCCCCAGCACTAAGAGCAGACAGCATCAACGTCCGGGGAGCGGGATGAGAAGTGGATCATTCGTGCTAGAAATATAAGAGATCCTGGCTCTTCCTTTTGTTTCTGGCATTTTGGTGCATTGGTAGCATGGGTTTCATGAGACACTTTCTCACCTGGATTTAGGATGCTTCCAGGAGTTCCAGTATCATCTGTCCTTAGCCTTCATTTTCCAATATCTTCTGTCCTGAGCCTTAGCTTTCCAGGGCCCACATCCACATGAGATACTTACTGTGCAGTACCTCGTCACTACTGTGCATTAGCATTGCATGGCACGAGCCGTGACCCGACGCTACTGTGCAGCAGTAACGAGCTACTGCACAGTCAGCACCACCAAGAAGTCTTACGGGGGTGCTACCACACAGTCATTTAGTGCTTGGGTATGCAAGTACTAAATGATCGTGCAGTAACAACTGTGTGGTCAGCATCTGCCGTGCACACAGCCAGGATCATCTGTCTGGCAGCCTTAGGCACCGCATGCCATCTGGAGAGATTGCACACCCCTCCTGCCCTTTGAAAATGAATCCTGATGCCTCTGTTAAGATCATAGCTCCCCTTTCTCTGGCAGTGCTGCACAAAGGAGGGTGTCTAGGATCGCCTCTAAGGCCCAGGTTGGTTTGAGGCTGCTCGCTTCAGGGAAGGAGTTGTCTGAGACCCCGCTGACTGTGCAGCACACATGTTCATGGAGATGCTTTAGGATTAACAGACTTTCTTGGGTAGGCTCCAAGTCTAGCTTGGCTCGATGAGTCAGAGCCATTCATTAAATAGATAAGAGCTGTGCACATGGGGAGGCCTTGCTCTCAGCACTTCTGCACTTGTCAAGCCGGGGGCCCATGCTTGGATTTCTGAGCTGTCTTTCTACAAGGGATGACAAGAACCGTAGCCAGGTGCTTCCCCCGGTACTTGTTAGTCAGGTCTCTCCCTTTTTCTCTTACCAATCTCGACAGCAGTTGTGCCTTTGTCAGTCCTGCGGGCTGGTCCTCTTATCTTGCCACCCCAATGTCCCTTTGGAGCGAGAGCAGGAATTCAGTCGTATCACCCGCTTCAAGAACAGGCAGGACAGCACCGCTGCTTCGTCGAGACCTGTTGGCACACGATGCAGCGACGGGTACCGGCTGTACCGTGCTGCAAGCAGTCATGTGGGTCTAGTCTGTCTTGTCCGCCGACCCGTTCTTCAGGGACGCTCGTAGCCAAAAAGGCTGCAGGTGGAGTGTCTGGAATTGCAACGGCGTGGAAAGTCCTGCAAGCTCAACCGGCCCTACAAGAAAGGGGCACCCTGAATGATGGCGTGAAAGCTAGCTTGACTCAAACACAGTCTAGCCAAGACTCTCACTTTCTATTCCCCTTGGACCATTATTTGTAGTCCAGTGTCCCTGTCATCTCTACTCCCTGCCTTTGGAGCGGCTACTGCTAGTGCATGGCACATCCGTGGGTTAGACCGTGTGACAAAGGAGGGGAAGGAAGAGCTGAACCCATGTCGCTAGGCCCCAGGAGAGGGGTCGCCCAATCAACCAATAGGAGAGGACAAGAAAGCAGGGAACTGTTAGAGGAACCAATGAGATGAGCAGCTGCCACGGCCTCATGAATATTCAACATCCAGGGGGTAGGTGGTACCCAAAACGACACCCCCGTGGAAGGTCTCCAGAGTCTCGGGCAGTCTGAGCCCCCCGACAGGTCGGGGTGTTATGTGGGGTGGAGCTGCAAGTCCAAAACCTTTACACCTTTTTATTGGCTGCCCCTGGAGCAGGAGACATCTTCTGCAGTTACTTCCAGGCTCCCATAATAACGCTGCGTAGACTTTCCTCAGCCCGCAGCTGCTTTAACTGGATCCTGCTTCATCGGTGTCACTGGAGAGACATCAAAAGCTAAATCCTGAAGGGAGGGATCAATGGTTCTTTTCAAGCACAATCCCACCCCCCTGCCTTTTTTTTTTGCTTCCATTTTTATTGCCTCAGAGCCCAGGCAGAAACCATCCTGCCTGAGAGATGCCTCTCTATTAAATGCATTACCTTTATAGACCAGTTTTTGCACCGATGGACTCTCAAGTTCTTCATGAACTACAGACACCTCAGATCAAAGACATGCACCCACCTCTGGGATAAGGGCAGCAGCCAATGGACAAGCAACAGCTCACGTGCAAGGAGAGAAGGAAAATTTGGAGCAAGGACACCGGGGTTGTCTGTGCCCATGCGGAGGAGACAGAGCTTTCCGTTTATTCTACCCCAAAAGATCCTCGGCCGATAACTCCAGGATGTTCAACCTTGGGAGGAGGAAGAGTCGGGCCAGTAATTAGCAGGCTTGGAGTCTCCTATCCAAAAAGTCTGCAGACCATGCTTACATGATCTGAGTTAGGGGTGGCCAACCTGTGGCATGGGCATGTGGTGGACGGAGGAGGGGACAGGCAGCACAGTGTAGGGCAGAAAGCAGAGCAGCAGAGCAGGCAGGAAGCACAGGGCAGGGAGCAGAAAGCAGAGCAGCAGATTGGGCTAGAAGCAGAACAGCAGATCAAGCAGGGAGCACAGGGAAGAAAGCAGAAAGCAGAGCAGCAGATTGGGCAGGGAGCACAGAGCATGGGGAAGAAAGCAGAGCAGCAGATCAAGCAGGGAGCACAGGGCAGGGAGCAAAAAGCAATGCAGCAGACTGGGCAGGGAACAGAAAGCAGAGCAGCAGCTTTGCCTGGGGAAGGGGGTCAGAGTGGCACAGAGGGAGGTTACGGGGCTAATGTGTGGCACCCCTGCCAAAAAGGTTGGCCTCCGCTGGATTAGATGATCCAACCTGTTATGACAGATCCCGTATTTGAATCATGTTCTGTACTGTAATAGCTAGCTGGCACGGTAAAGCAAAGGCATGTAGGACATCCTACTTATCCTTTTATAAGTAGCATCGTGTCTAATCACAGGACTCCCATGATACTTAGAAATACTTGTTGGTTAGAAATTATCCCATTCAGAAATTTGCATTCCGGCTTCTGAATGCCATGTGTTGTTTATGCCCTCACCGCAGCGCGTGCTGTCTTTGGTAGGTGCTGTTGCTACTGCAAAGGAAAGGGAAATATTCCAAATTCTCTCTCTGGTCAGGCAGCTGGAGAGACAGGGGTCATTAAAGCTGGAGGGAAAAGCAGAAGGGGGAGCAAAGAATGGGAATTACCAAAGGATTTGAGTCAAACTGGTGCATGTGGGTCTACATGTCGGAAAGGGAGTGTTATGCCATTGTTGGAGCAGTATCCTGCAAGGCAGGACACCTGGGTTCAGCTCCTGCATTGCTACGAGAGAGGGGCCAAGTCTTTAGAGCTAGAATAATCACATCTGAGTGTCTAAAGTCTGGCACCAAAAACAACATTTACCCACACACAATCCTCGCCCAGATCTTAGCATCATAGGGAAGCCCGGCTGGAAGGGACCTCGTGAGGTCATCTAATGCAGCCCCCTGCTCAAGGCAGGATCATCCCTGACTCGACCAACCCAGCACGTGTCTGTCCAACCTGCTCCTGAAAATGTCCAGGGGTGGAGATTGCACAATTTCTTAAGAAAGTGTTTCCCCCACTGTCGTGTTACTCGGGACCTTGGTGTGATGCGCTTGAGCAGGCACTCCTGACTTTTTGCAGAAGTTGGATCAGTCTTTAATCGAGGTCGTCATGACGGGCACCTCCTTTCCCACTTGCAGTCGCATAATATCCCTGCACCAACTGCAGCCATTGCTTATTGGCTGTTCAATACTGGAAAAGTATTTTTGAGGCTATTGCTGCTTTTATTACTGGTTAGCAGGTGGAAAACAAGGAAAAGCTAAAGTCTTGTATAAGGTGGCTTTTCTTGGGCCACTAACGGATACAACATGGCCCTCCAGTGATCCATAGACCGCAGTCTGGGAGCCTCTGCGTGAACCTACCCGGTTAGGTCCGGTTAGCAACTTCCAATGCAAACCACTTGCTGTCACCTTGTGATGTAGAAGGTGGCAGGTCCTTTAGCCCTCCTCGTCATCTGTGTTTCTACCCCGTTTTTATCTTTTTGTGTTCCAGAGGAAATCCAGCTCACCAACCAGGATCCCCGGTGGGTTGGCGCCTGGTGGCTTGGCTTCCTGGTTGCAGCCAGTCTCGTGGCCCTATCTGCCATCCCTTATTTCTTCTTCCCAAGGGAGATGCCTAAAGAGGTAAGGATGGGATCTGCAGCTGCACAAATTGTTCAGCTGATTGAACCGGTTCAATAAACGGGAGCTCACCTCTGTCCCCTGCTCGACAAGTTCGGTCTGAATCGAGGTGTCGGCAGGGATGCTGGGTCTGAGGGGTGAGCGGGAACATCCTGAGGCTTTGTAGGGGTACGTGGGGCCAATGCCAGGTAAGATATACAGGATGGATTGTATCATGCTCCAAAGATGATGCTGTATGTGGGCCACCTGCCTCTTTCCCCTCTCTGCTTTGGGCCTTTTGGAGATGGCTTCAAGCTGGGAGACCCAGACCCAAACTTCTCCAAACAACAAAGGGTTATGGTTTGGGGGCTCGGAGTCTTTTTCAGCTTTGCAAGCTCTCACATCTCAGAACCAACATGGTAAGGGGAGTCCGGCTTGGCCACGGGTTGGCCTCGTTGCAACCGCCCTGGTCCTTCCTGCTGTTAAAAATCCCATGGCCATTTTGTAAATGAAAACGCAAAGCAACGTGGGCAGCTTAGTAGGCGTCACTCCTCTGTCTGCAGAGGTCTACCCAGATAAACCATAGCAGTAGCTCCTGGACTGTGCCATCTCATTTTCACAAGGACAGGAGTGGTAGCATTAGTGCTTTCCTAAATTCCTGGACACAATAATATCTCCTGGTACGTAAGATGCTCTACAGGTTCAGCTGGTGAGGTAGTTCTCGTGTAAAGGCTAATTTTGCAATCTTAAGTAACCCCGGGAACACTAGCATGACTGGCTGTTGCTGCACCCCAGACGTGACTGCATTTCAGTGATGGGTAAAATTATCCCTCGATTCATAACAGTATGAGGAACATTGCTTGAACCCCTAACGGGGCGATGTAAGTGTGTCCTCGAGTGGTTTGGAAATGTCCTTGGAAAACCCAATTGTTTATCAGCCAGCTTCTAAGTCGTGTCCCAAGAAGTCTCTCCTCAACCCGTTTCCACCAGATTGAGACTGCCGTGGCTATGGCCCTCTCCTTTCCTTGAGCTTAGCAACTGCATCGGAGTCTACTCATCACCACATAGGGCTTCGCCTGTGACTCTGCTTGTCCCGAGGAACGAGAGATTTCTGATGGCTCCTGGCTAGAGAGCGTCCTTTTGTTCTGCCTCCTCTCTTTAATGCTCCAAAGCAAAAGAAAAGCCCCGAGCCCTGTTGCCAACTTGCTAGGCTACTTAGGGCGAGTCACTTCGCTGGCAGTTTTCCATCTGTAAAATAGGGGTAAGGATAATTGCTTGGAGAGCGCTCTGAGATCTCTGGCTGAAACGAGCTGCCTAAGAGCTAAGCGTTGTCACAGGGAGCGCCGGCGTTGTCCTAGAAAGGGGGCATTTCACATTTCCATCCCTGCTTTGGTGGCAAAGAGGTTAGAAGTGCAATTTTCATAACTCGACATCCGTTGAATCCTGCTCCAAGGGCACTTAGGAGCATCTTCCACTGGATCCCATTGAGTTCAGATTGGGAAGTGTTTTTTTCTTGTCATCGGGTTTTTCCTTTGTATCAGAAGCCCAGTGACTGTGGTCACGCTCATGCCGAATACCAGATGGATTCACAAGCATTGTTGGGGATTTCTTGGCTGTAGCTCCTCATTTCTGGCGAACAATTTGCTGCGATCGCACAGAGGGTTATTGGAAATGAATTGTTCTTTCAGATGAGGCGTACAACTCAGGCCCTGGTTGTTCCTGCTATTAAAAATCCCATGGCACATTTTGTAAATGGTTTGGCATTCGTTTCAATGTCTTGGCCATATTCCAGTTGAGCATTGGATTGTGCATTGTTTGTGACAAGGAACAGCTCTTACCTCCCATCCCTCCGGTGACTGCATTTCAGGGACGCATAAATCATTCTCATGTAGGATTTAGAGCCTTCCACACTGGCAAATTGTACCAGTTATACCAGTGTGGTTATAAAATCACAGAATCATGGAAAATTCAGGTTGGCAGGGACCTCAGGAGGTCACATCTAGTGCAACCCCCTGCTCCAAGCAGGTCCAGCCCCAACTACATCATCCCACCCAAGGCTTTGTCCAGCTGGGTCTTAAAAGCCTCTGAAGTTGGAGACTCCACTACCTCTCTGGGTAATCTGTTCCAGTGCTTTACTCCCCTCCTATTGAAAAAGTTTTTTCCTAATATCCAACCTCAACTTCCCTTGCTGCAGCTTGAGACCATTGCTCCTTGTCCTGTCATGTGCCCCCACTGAGATCAGCCCAGCTCCATCCTCTTTGCAACCATCCTTCAGGCAATCGAAGGCTACTTAAGGTTTGACCCATCTTACTCCTGATGTGGACGCTCTGAATAAGAGCGTCCTTCTTGGCTTAACTGGAACCAGCTCAAAAGCAAAACAGAACCAGGCAAAATTGGGGGTCTGATAGGGGATGAAGTGTATCCACACAGGGCAGGGAGCTATTTTGGCACGCCGCTTTTATCGAAATCCGAGATGACCCCGAGTTGAAGACGACCCCCAATAATTAGACGCTAGACGTGGAAAATGTATATATTTGTTAGAACTTTCCATCTAATTATTGGAGGTTCATCTTTTATTCTTCCCTTCACGGTGGAGGGGTGGTGAGGGGGGCAGGTGGTGGGGGTCAGGTAGTAGGCCAGGCAGTGGGTGGCACACGGTGGGGCAGGTGGGTGGGGGGCAGGCAGCTTGCCCCCTGCTGCTTGTCCCCACTGCTTACCCTCCTCTTACACCTATCCTCTCTCAGACTCAGGCTCCTGCCCCTCTGCACCGCTTCCACCCCCACCTTCAGCCTTGGGTGCTAGCCTGCCTCTTCCCTCCACCCCAGCCTGGCCCTGGAGCAGCAGTTTGGGGGGGACGTCGAGGGGCAGTGGGGGCCCGAGGCCACGGGAGAGGAGCAGACAGCAGCTGCCTGCCCCCACTACCCCATATTCAATTCCAAGAAAAGGGGCTCCCTTATATCGCAGTTTCATGACTTGCGGAAACTGCACAAAACAGCAGTCTCCACAACCGTTGTGAAAAATGGTGTTTCCCGCAATTCCCCCCCCAAACTGAAAGCTGACCGGACTACAAAGAAAGCGCGGCAGTCCCTGCAGCCACGGAGCGTGTGCTTTGAGACGCAGGCTCAGCGAAGGCGCCAGTCTGGAAAGTGAAAGGGTTTCAGTGCCATCTTTTAAGAAGCCAGTGCTGCAGTCTGAAGATGAGTGATCAGCCTCTTGGCCAATCAGTGGTGAGGGGCAGGGCTACCAGCCCCCATCACCCAATCAGCATGGGGGGGGGCCCCCCCCCACCCCCAAAACACGAGGGGGGGGGGGGGGGACACACACCACAAAAAGACCGCAAAATCGGCTCCAGGCGGCATGACCAGCCTACGAAAATCCCTTTGTCGCACCGTGATTTAGGTAGGACCTTATTATAAGTATCCTTGAGGGTCATAAATCAGTGGACTACGTCAAGAAAAATATAATCCCATACTAAAACCAGAGTGCGTACCCCGCTCCGCATGATCTGGCCGAGGGCAATTTGGTAGCTGTTGTGACACTGGAAGCAAGACTACTTTGATGCCAGCAAACCTTGAACCTTCCTCTTCTCTGCCTATGGATCGTTAGAAGGAGCTTTTACTTGCCTCACTGCAGTGCTGATTTTGCTGGGTCTCTTTGATTTCACATGCTGCCCATCGAGCCAAACCGATTTGTCCCAGAAACCTTCGGGGGACACTGATGCAGTGCAATGCATTTCAAAAGAGAAAACCCGAAAGAAAGAAAAAAACGTTCCTTGAACCACGACCCGGGAGAGGGAGGCGTGGCAGTGGCAGAAGCGGGCAGGTTGATTTGCCGCAAAAAGAGCATTGAAGGACTTTGCCTCTAACAGTCGTTCTCATAGTTTGACTACGTGCCAGTCTGCCAGCAAGAACATTTGGCTGTCATAGGGGGCCCTGGGAAATCTGTTGGAAGTCTACGTTAGCACACGCTGTTTCCCTCAGCCACCGCAGAAAACCCAGTGCTTTTACGGCCTTGCCCTTGCAGCAAATTGCTGTTCATTTACCAGCACAATGCTGATTGCTTTAACACCAGAAAGAGCAATTTTCCCTCTTTCCCAACGAGTCGGGGGAATTAGAGTTATGAAAGCACAACATTCCCCCAGAAGCGTGCTCTCTTGCTAGGAAAATGCTCCAGCTCCCTTGACTTTTCAGGTTGGCTCTCCTGTAAAATCATGAGAAAACAGTTGGGCAGGTGCTAAGCAGATGCCACACAATGAAAACTAACCCTGGGGAAAGAGAGAAGGGTCTATGTGCAAGTACAACTACAACTTCACCATGGTCCATGCGTGTTCAGAGCCAGGGTTTTGCTTTGGCCCATTTCTTTTGTTACGTGCCCCCGTCCTTGAGAGACCACAAAGCACTGAAGGTTGAATAGACTTCCTTGACAACCCCTGGCCTAATTTTAGTTAAGGAACTAGGATCCAGTTTTCTATTGTGTCCTTCTCCTCCTGTTTCCTCATTGATGAGCCACAATGGTAGCATGTCCCATCTCGCTTCCAAAGGTACGAATGGTGACACAAAGCACGAAGCAAGGGAATCATCCCCCTCATTTCCTTTCTCTACAGCAGCATCCAGCGTTCACAAAGTATGTTTTCTCAGTCTTTATTTCACAGCTGGAGATTCCCCATTTTATCCGGCACAAAGTGAACCTAAATAAGCATACAAATATGCATGCAGAATGTCAGCAGACTGAATATAGGCAGATTGCGGGTTGCCATTATTGTCAGTAAAAAAATTAAACTTAATGGAAGAAAGGGGAAGGAGAGCTAAGGCATGCTGATTCTGGGGCAGCAGTGGTTGTATACTAATGTAACTCTGCTGCCTTGCTCCTGATGTGATGGAGATCAGTGTCTAACCCCAAATGATCTGAGTGCAGTCTGTACAGATAATCCCCGATTCTGTTTGTCTTGCCAGATGTCGTAGTACAAGATGGGTATAATAAATGTAAATTAGATGACAGAATATGTCCTCTTTGCGCTAGTCTGT